TTCTCAGTGCTGTGCTTTAACCCGCTGCGCCACCAGGGAGGGCCATATTTTATATTTTTTAAAAAGATTTATTTTGTTTTTTTATGCATACAAGAGCTGGGGTATAGACCAGTGGTGCGGGAGGGTGGGGGTGATGAGAGGATTCACCACAGACATGGAGCAGACATGAAATACAGGTGACAGACTGAAATACACTGTTGAGGGGAGCAGTAGGCGAGGCAGGAGAAGTATATCAAAGAAGATATACAAATGGCAAATAAGCATTTGAAAGGATGCTCTACATCATATGTCATTTGGGATACCCAAGTTAAAAAACACGAAGAAATACCACTAACACCTATTAGAATGACCAATTCCAGAACACTGAGAACACCAAATACTGATGAGGATGTGCAGCAATGAGAACACTCATTCACTGTGGGTAGGAATGCAAAATGATACAGTAACTTTGGAAAATAGTGGGGCAGTTAGTTTCTTACAAAACTCAGACACAGGACTGAGAAATCATATTCCTTGGTATAGTCCAAATGAGTTAAAAAAAATTTTAAAAGATTTATTTAACCATACAGAACTGGGGTACAGGCCAGAGGTGCAGGGGCAGTGAGAGGATTCACCAGCGACAGAATGGGGAGCAAAACAGGCAGACTGACGAAGTACTAGGGGAGCAGTGGGTGAGACAGGAGAGGTCTGCTGCACCATGAAGATTACCTCCGGGGCCGGGGATTGAACTTGCACTGAAGCTGCTGCAGCTCACTTGAAATGCTGCGCTTTAACTCACTGTGTCACCAGGCAGGGCGGAAAAAATTTTTTTTTTGTAATATGATAGCTTCTTTTTACATCATTTTGAGCCTTTTTCCATCTCAGTTGTAATCCCCGTGGACTTCCCATCACCAACTCACCCATGTGCCATCACCATAGAAAAGTTAAAAATGTATACAAACTTCTCCAAAGAGGAAATGCAGACAGCCAACAAGCATATGAAAAAATATTCAACATCACTTGTAATAAGGGAGATACAAAATAAAACCACAATGAGATACCACCTCACACCAGTGAGAAAAGCACATCTTAACTAGCAGCAACAAATGTTGGCAAGGATGTGGAGAAAAAGGAACTCTCCTACACTGCTGGAGGGAATGCAAACTAGTGCAACCACTATGGAAAACTGTTTGGAGGTTTCTCAAACTGCTAAAAATGAAGCTTCCATATAACCCAGTAATTCCACTCCTAGGTATCTACCCAAAAGATACAAAAACACTGATTCAAAAAGATACCTGCATACCTATGTTTACTGCTGCTTTATTTACAATAGTAAAGACATGGAGTCAACCCAAATGCCCAAAAGTAGATGACTGGATTAAAATATGTGGTACATATACACAATGGAATAATACTCAGCAATCAATAAAGATAAACTCATGCCTTTTGCAGCAACATGGATGGAGTGGAAGGGATCATGCTTAGTGAAATAATCCAGAAAGAAAAAGAAAAATACTGAATGGTTTCACTTGTAGCAAGAGCATAAAGGACCGGGGGCGGGGGGGGGGAAATAATAATAATGAACAACTATAGACCAGAGACATTTTATGGGGGTGTATAGGCCAGAGACATTTTATGGGGGTGGAGTGTGGAATGGGATTAAAAATGGGGGTGGGGGAAGCCCACTGGACTACGGTGATGGGAAACCCACGGGGATTATGATTGAGATGGGAAAAGGAATAAAATGATGTAAAAATAAACTATTACATTATTTTAAAAATTTATACAAAAGCCTGTACATGAATGTTTATAGCAATTTTATTCATAATTGCCAAAACTGGGATTCAGTAGTTCAAAGGATAAATAAGCTGAAGTACATCCAGACAACAACCTAGCAACCTTAGTGTGCCTCTTGCACCTTGACTCAGTCTGTCCATGTGAGCCATTTGTACTTAGTGTCCTGTGAAAATTCTCCATGAGTTTGACTTCTATGGCATGGATGAACTGGCTGCAACAGTTACCATTGCTGCTGGGACTTCTGCTACTTTTTATCTAGTTTACAAAAGATTTTGTAGTAGAGATCATCACAACAAATACGTGGTCAATCCTCACATTCAGACAGACAAACCTGAGGTAGCACATGCTTATGAAATGCAGGATGTGAGAGATAAAGCTGTATACTGCAATTGTTGGAAGTTCAAGAAGTTCCCATTCTGTGATGGATCACACACAAAATACAATGAAGATATTTGAGATAACAGGGGACCTCTGATCATTAAGAAAATAAAACTTAAATGGACATTTTTGACAAACCAACTTATCATAATGTTACCAAATAATTAACATAACAACCACTTCTGTCTAATTCACCTCCTTATTCTAGGTGTAGCCATGTTGCAAAATGCAGCTTTGCAAACCAGAGCATTATCCTTACTTGTTGAACCATTATGTTACAAATTGTTCAAATAAAAGGAAAACAAACCTCATGGCCTGAGGTTTATTTCTGACCCTGGATCTGTTTCTTTCAGTTTAAAATAATGGCACTAAAATATAGTTGTGGAGCCCTCCCTGGTGGTACAACAGGGTTAAAGCGCAGCACTATGTAGCAAGCCAAAGCTGCTTCAGTATGAGTTTGATTCCCAGCCAGGATACTGACCTACATGGCACAGGAGACCTCTCCTGTGTTGTCCACTGCTCCCCTCAGCAGTGTATTCTGTCAATCTGCCTGTTCTGGCCCTCACTCTTTCTCTGGTGAATCCTTTTACCGTCCCTGTACCTCTGGTCTACACCCCAGTTCTGCATGCATAAATAAATAAATCTTTAAAAATATATATGTATAGTTGTGGAACCTCCCTGGTAATGCAAGGGTTAAAGCACAGCACTATGAAGCTATCCTAAGCCACTGCACCACAAGTTCAATCCCAGGCAAGGGAGGTAACCCATGTGGTGTGGCAGACCTCTCCTGTCCTGCCCGCTGCTCCCCTCAGCCGTGTATTTCAGTCAATCTGCCTGTTCTGTTCCCCACTCTGTCTCTGGTGAATACTCTTACTCCCTGTACCTCTGGCCTGAACCACAGTTCTTGTATGCATAAATAAATTTTTTAAAAGTTACTTTACAAATTGTATACCTAACATGGCAAATTTTTATTATATATTTACCACAACAGAAAATATGTAAGCCACTAGATTACCATCTAATTCCTGTATTATAATAGGGTAGTATTATAATAGGTTACAAGTCAGTTAACTGAAGTTTAACTTTCAATTCATGAACTATTCTCTATCTTATATAAACAGGTTTTATTTCTTTTTAAAAATATTTATTTATTTATGCATACAGAACTGGCTAGAGGTACAGGAGCAGTAAGAGGATTCACCAGAGACAGAATGGGGAGCAGAACAGGCAGATCAATGAAGTACACTGTTGAGGGGATTAGTGGGTGAAACAGGAGAGGTCTGCTGTGCCATGTGGGTCACCTCCTGGGCCAGGGATCCAATCCTACTGAAATGGCTGCCACTAGCTTCTCAATGTTGTGCTTTAACCCACTGTGCCACCAGGGAGGTTCTTTAATTTCTTGTGGCCAGCAGAAAGTGTGTATTACACTTTATCCATATGGTATCTATTTCTACTTAATAGGATAAGTCAAAAATCTTACCATTTGAAATACATCAGAACCTTCATCAAAATCCACCATAGCAAAAAAAATCCTGTTGGTAAATGCACTGGAGTATCGCCAGGAGTTTGCCAGGATCTGGAATTCTTCATCAGCTTGCCTGGATACAATCAGATTTGTGAAGATACCATATAAGGCAATTTTAAAAAGCAATCTAATTTCTCAGCAGTAACACAGAGCCACAGTAGCATCAACAGTTTTTCAAATGGGATAAATATTTTTAAAAAAAGAAAAAGGAGTCAGACTCTGCTGACAGAGTTAGGAGAAACCTTCAAAAACAATGCCATTGTTACAGAATAAGAAAGCCTTATCCAATTGTTGGGGCCTCCACCATAAAGTAGTAATTACTTTACTCTGCCTCATACTTTGTGCCTATTTCTTTCTTCTTCTTTTTTAAAGATTTATTTTATTATACATACAAGAATTGAAGTACAGGCCAGAGGTATGGGGAGTAAGAGGATTCACCAGAGACAAAGTGGAGAGCAGAACAGGGCGGGCGGGTCAGGAGAGGTCAGTTACACCATGTGGGTCAGCTTCCTAGCTGGGGATCTAACTTGTGCTGCAGTGACTGCAGAGAGCTTCATAGTGCTGTACTTTAACCTGTCGCGCTACCAGGGAAGGCCCTGTGCCTATTTCTTATCTCAAAGCTCTTTCAGTAATCACTGGAAAAATTCATTTGTCCACAACAAATTTTAATGCCTTAAATTACTTCTAAGTGTTTTAAAACGAGGTTTCCCAAGGGAAGCCTGGGAAATTAAATCCATTAAAATTATTAATCCATTAAAAAATAGGAAGTACAAATGGTATCTAGTAAAAAATACAGTCATGTGGCTTATTAGGGTGGAAGATATTTTAGGATCTAGGGTATTGAGATTTGAAACAAAATCAGTTTTGACTTTTCCCTTATTGCCCATATACTTTCAGATTCCAAGATGTGACAATGCTTCATTTATGGTTATCTTTTAATGCTATCCCTTTCCTTTTATTTTCATTGCTTTCATCTAAAGTGAGATCCTTTAAATCTACCCAAAGGACAGAAAAACATTAATTCAAAAGGACATCTATACCATATGTTTATTGCAGCACAATTTACAACAGGTAATTATGGTAGCAACCCAGATGCCCAAAAATCGATGACTGGATCAAGAAGATGTGGTATAATTACACAATGGAATATTACTCAGCAATCAGAAAAGATAAACTTATGCCCTTCTCAGCAACATGGATGGAGCTGGAAGGGGTTATGCTCAATGAAATAAGCCAGAAAAAAGAAAAATATTGAATGGTCTCACTTATAGGAGAAAACAAAAAAGGAATAAGAAAAAAAGTATAATAAAGTAAAAATCAAAATCATCAGGAAACTATAAATTAGAGACATTCTGTAGGGGAGGAGGGTGAAGGATCAGGATAGGAGTGGGAAGAGCACAGGGACTGTGGTGATGGGACTTGGGTGAACTGGTGGTGGGAATTTCCCAGGGAAATCATTGTACAAAAATGAAGGACGATGTAATGAATATATTAAAAAATAAAAAAAGAGGGCCCTCCCTGGTGGCGCTGCGGGTTAAAGCGCTGCACTAAGAAGCTTAAGCCACTTCCTCATGAGTTCAATACCCCCCTGCCCCAGAGGTGACCACATGGTGTGGCAGACCTCTCCTGACCCGCCCGCGCAGCCCCTCAGCATTATAATCGTTGATCTGCCTGTTCTGCTCCCCACTCTGTCTCTGTTGAATCCTCTCACCCTCCGCATCTCTGGCCTGTACCCCAGTTCTGTATGAATAAACAAATAAATCTTTAAAAAAAGATAGAGACAAAATTGGAAGCTTAAAAAAAAAAAAGTCAGATCCTTTATATCTGTCATTAAAATGGTGAAACTGGGCCTCTTCAGTGGCACTATAATGCTATCATGAGTTGGCTCCCCAGCTAGGGAGGTGACCCACATGACACAGCAGATCTCTTTTGACTCAATCACTGCTCCAGTCAACAGTATATTTCAGTCAATCTGCCTGTTCTGTTTCCCACTCTTGTCTCTGGTGGATCTTCTCACCACCCTCAGCACTTCAGGCCTGTACCCCAGTTCTTGTATCAATCTTAAAAAAAGAATACTGAAACTAATTTCTCCTTGCCCACCAAGCTCCCATCCTCCTTACACAGCAGCATATGTTGGTCTTTCTAAATTACTACTTTGCTGAAAATCCTCCTCTGCTTAGAAACCATGTTGCTTTTCTTCTACCTTCAGAGCAAGGTCTCCTAGACCTTGCACTGGTGATTCAAGGTTCTTTATCATTTAATCCCAAATAATGCATGTAGCTTTTATGTAGCCTCACTACTAAAAAATCTCAAATAGGATCTCTTATTTCTAGTACTTTATTTACTCCTATCTCTGTACACTTACAAACATCACTGCTTCTAACCAGAATAGCCTACCTATATCTAAATCTGATTCATCTGTCTAACCCTAGCACAAATCTTATCTTCTTAGCCAAACCTAACCATTCTTCTTTTATGTCCTTCTTGAAATTTTACAGTATTTATTACATGTACAATTCAGTTGGTATTTTATCATAAATCGCTTTATATTACCAACTAAATTTTCATGTGTGGAACTCATATTCTTTATTATGATTTTCATCCTCACAGCACAAATATATAGAATTACACACATTGTTTTTCTTAATTTTTCTAATGTATTTAGGAAAACTGAGTTAAATTTCCCACGGGGATTAAAATTGAGATGGAAAAAAATGTACAAAATGATGTAAAAATAAACTGTTATAAAAAAAAAAGAATGTGCAAAACAAACAAACAAACAAAGGCAGCAGCAACTAAAGGTGTCTTCTTTCTTACCCATAAATTGCTAGTTTAGAATACGGAACCAGAGACACTAATCACCCAGATACTACATATAGATCTTTTACTTTAATAACAACACGCCTACAAAAAAAAAAAAAAAAAAAAAAACTGAGTTAAATTTAAAACTGGGCTTGTAGAAAGATACTAAAAAAATATAAGTGTAATAAGTATTCCACAACTTTCATCTAATACAAAATTATGAAGATATATGATTGTTCCCTGACATTTTGGTATGTTTCTGATTGCTAGCAATTGATAAAATCAGGATTAATTGCAGATGTTAAGTTTATTCACAGTTAATACCTACTATTCGTTTTCCATTTACTTTTAACTTATATTAAGCATAAACTCCAAAAAATATACATTGAGTATCTCCTACTTCCAGTGAGAAAAACCTTTAAGAAAAACGACCAAGGCTTGGGGTGGCATAACATACTATTCTAAAAGAAGGCTGTCAAGCACCATCTATTTTTGTTTCAGGCCAGGAGGAAGTGACTGTTGAATGACTAGCATGGGGTCTAATGCTTTGGTAAAAAGTTTTGGCCAAGCACCTGCAATTTCATGTTTTTGGAGCAATCAATGTATCCCTAGGGGTTGTACTTTCTATAAATTTCCTCTGGATGAACCAAGAAAGAAGGCACATTTCTTTTTTTAAAAATTTTAATATTTTTAAAGACTTATTTATTTGTACATACAAGAGCTGGGGTACAGGCCAGAGGTGTGGGTGGTGAGAGGATTCACCAGAGGCCGAGTGGGGAGCAAAACAGGCAGACTGACTGAAATATACTGCTGAGGGGAACAGTGGGCAAGACAGGAGAGGTCCACCATGCCATGTGAGTCACCTCCCTGGCTGGGAATCAAACTTGTGCTTCAGTGGCTGCAGACAGCAACACAGTGCTGTGCTTTTACCCCCTGTGCCTCCAGGGAGGCCCTTAAAGGCATAGTTTTAAGAAATTATGATTCCATAAAAGACTTTAAGTAGATGAGGAAGGCTGGTATCTTTCAGAGAGCAAAGTGATTTTGTAATACAAAGAATTTCTTTGGATTAACTTCCATGGAAGTTTATCACTGACCTGTTTTTCTGAAATATGAAATAAGAATATTTGGACTAAGGGGTAGTTTCTCTATTAAAAAAAAAAAAAAA